TGTGTGTGTGTTTTTTTGTTTTTTTTTTAATATATTTTGATTTTTTACAGAGAGGGAAAGGGATAGAGAGAAACATCGATGAGAGAGAAGCACTGATCAGCTGCTTCCCACACACCCCTCACTGGGGATGTGCCTACAACCAAGATACATGCCCTTGACCGGAATCGAACCTGGGACCTTTCAGTCCGCATGCCGACGCTCTATCCACTGAGCCAAACCCGCTTCAGCACAGAGTGTTCTTATAAAAGGACAGACTCCCAGCTCATCTCTCCCAACAAAATGCTGCCCATTGTTTTCTTCTAAAACACCAATTTTCATTTTCAAAAATAGGACGTTACCCCTGGAGATGCTTTAAAAGCTGTAATTTTGCTTCTGAGGTTTTGTGGGATCGTAAACACCCTGAATACAACACCATGTGCCAACTCGCAGGGAGGCTGCATGGCTGCAGGACAAGTGTGATCGGAAAAGCTTCTAGGCGCACCGTTCAAATCTTAACACTCAGCCTTTCAACAGAGTGTTTTATACTTAAAGAAGCCACGCACACACACACACAAAGTCAATTAATTTTTTATTACAACCAAGAATATAAAATAAATGCAATGTAATTTATTTTAGTTTTAACAGTCATTTCAAGGAGGAGGCCTGGACAACTCAAAAGCGGGGGACACTCGGCTCCAAAGCAGCAGCTTGTCCTGCACCCCCGGGGCGGGCCTCGCTGGGTGCTGCGCGCTGAGCGGCACCTCGCAGCCGAGTGTGGGGAGCACACCATCGTCTCCATAACCATAGAGGGGTGCATGCAGGAAGTGACTGAAGTGAGACAAGGAGGAGCACACTTCACAAGTGGGAATTATGGGAAATACAAACTATGCAGTTTAAGAAAGCATGTACTACATAACATATATAAAAAGTACTTTAAATTGTTGTTAAAAAGGACATCTTCAGTCCAGATTTTGTGTAATACCTTTAGTGTCCACACAGACAAATCTTTAAAAAAAAATTAAATAGTATTAATTTACTAAATATTTAGGAGATAACAGTGCATTAAGGACTTCTTTTTTCATACAATACATACTTATCACGCCTTTGCAGTGACAGCATAGAAGAGTTAAGTATGGTCTTAGGTACAACACATTTTTTTAAAAAAATCCTAAAACAATGAACTTTGTTTTATATTTATGATATTCTTTAAGATTATGGGGACCTAAACTACTATGCTTTATATAAAACGTTACTTATACTTGAATCCTTCAAGCCTCCTTTACTCTAACTGCCATTTCACTGCCTTCCTCCATTTCCTGCAAAGATATCAGCATAGATAGGTTGGGGGTTGCAATTTTCATAGATTTCTTCCTTCATTATATAGTTTCCGCTACATAGATTTATTCAAAGCAGACTAAGTGGCAAGTCTTACTGTTCAACTATTTTTTTCTTTCTTTAGTAGAGAAAACAGCATAGTTTTAGAGGCATATAACTAACCGCTGCCTCAGCGGGAATGAGGCAGTGAACACATATGTAAATGCTGTCCCTTTCCATTCTTAAAGGTAAATTGTTTATAAGAGCAAAAGAGTAGTGCAGAAGGCCAAAATTCTAAGTACTAAAGTTTTAAAACCACACAGATATAAAAATATACATGTCCTTGGTTTCTGTATGTCACTGCATCATCTGCTTCCCCACAAGGATTGCTTCCGCCTCTTCCTGTCCGCCCTGCCACCAGGCAGCCTTACCCATGAGCTCAGCTGTCCTGAAATTCTGAAATCCCTTTTCCACACACACACACACACACACACACACACACACACCTCACCAGAAAGCTACCTCATTGATCTGTAATATGGGGAGCAGAGCACCTTCATTTCGATTCCTTCCTTCTGGTGACCCCCCTGGTTTAGGAGTTCCCATATGCAGAGGAATCTCCCCCTGCATTCTCAGGGACATGACAGTAATGCATTTTCAAAGAGGAATGCAGTCGCTTGGGGACTACAAAGGTAAATTTAAACCTCAAAGAGCTTCATAGTTCTCCTTTGAGGTCCCACAGTTTTAGGGACCATAAATTTGTTAAAGGCTCGCGCCCCTTTACAGGGTAATGGAGATTACAAATCAAAATGATCTTAAAAGATAACAGGCATCACCAACGTGAGGCAGGACTATAGGAGGAAAGGGCCAGGGCCAGGGCAATGACAAGAACGCCGGTCCTGTATGGAATGGGGAGATCTGGCTCGATTTTGGGGAACATCATAAGGGGAACAACTGATGAGATCCCTTATAGCCTCTCCATCAGCTCTGCCAGGAGAATTCACTACGTACCAGGAATGCTAGGTAGTCCTATGATCCTGTAGGTACACATCACAAGAACTGCATTTCTTTCTTTTTTTTTCCCTTTTTTAAAAAATATATTTTATTGATTTTTTACAGGAAGGGAGAGAGATAGAGAGCTAGAAACGTCGATGAGAGAGAAACATCGACCAGCTGCCTCTTGCACACCCCCTACCGGGGATGTGCCCGCAACCAAGGTACATGCCCTTGACTGGAATCGAACCCGGGACCTTTCAATCCGCAGACCTACGCTCTACCACTGAGCCAAGCCGGTTTCAGCAAGAACTGCATTTCTAAGTTGTGTATAAAGTATGAAGGGGCGTGGCATTTTGGTTCATGCACATACTTGGGTATGTCTTTCATTAACGTAAGGTCCCCTTGAGGGCAGGACAGAGTTTCTATTTTCATTCTAATTTCCTACAACTACTTAATAGTGTTCTGCCTACCAAGAGCCACCCACTTACTGAAAGGCTGCTGTAAACATTTCAAATGCACATGAATGCCTGCTGTGATGCTGAACTGCTGGCTTTCTCGAAGGTAACCAGACATAGAAACCTCCCCATAACACTGTTTATTGTGGAGCAGAATCTGGAATGGTGACTCTGTCCAAGTGGGTCTAGGAGTGGACAAAAGGACCTTCGCCTTCTAAGATGGTGTCACTTACAAACCACCTCTCCCAGGGGAGCTCCCTTCCATGGAGTGGAGCATACGCTCCTGAAGTGCCAGCAAGTCCTTTGTATCTCCCAGCCAGCTCAGCACTGGGTGCAGGTGAGGGTGAGTGAGCATCTGATGACCTGTCACTCTGGACAATGAGGCTTCAGGGCACAGGACAGAACCTTATATATGCAGCTACATTAGGCAGAGGGCTATTAATTTTTCATTTTGAAAATGAAAGGGGTAAATCACCATGGAGACAATCAGAAATTCCTTCCAATGGAGCATGCATGCAACTGTGTCAGTGTTGGTAAGCATCACTACATAGTCTTTATTACTAATAAGCATTATTATGCTGAAATCGGTAAGGTCCTTGCTGGCTACAGGATCACAGCAATAGTGCAAAATATATACTGGCTTCTGTCTAAAGTCTTATGTTACTTGTATATGGACCCAGAGTATATAACCAGGTAGATAAGTTCATAAAGAATAATTTAAAAAAATGCTTATGACTTGCATATACAACAATCAGCCATTTCTCTTAGCTAAGAAAACGTCTAAAACAAGGCTGGTGCTATAGTAGCATTCAGAGAACACAAACGTCCTGTCCGTCACATGACAAGGACAGCTCTACGTCTACCTTTCTTTGTGACTCTGCGGAGTGAGGGGTTCTTTTCACTGACTGAGAAAGAACGCGGCCTCCGATTCATAGATCATGGAAATGCAAATATGCACTTTATCTAGTTTAGTTGTATACTATCTGCCCATAGTTTTTTAGGCACAATTATTAGTTTTCCCCTAGGGGCAAAAGAAAATATTCAGTGCAATGAAGATTCTTGATAGAATTACGTTTCAGTAACAACAGCAACATTATGCATACATAATACATACTTTAAACATGAATAAAACCTAAATTTTTAACATGCCTTAAAAATAGTCACTCTATAGTCTAATGCAAATACAAATGGAGAACACTGCTCTTTATTTTAAAAGCAGGATCATCGGCAGGCTTCTGTCGAGTACCCTTGATTATGAAAGAAAGTTACTCAAGATGGGCCACATGTGAAGAAACCAACAGCTCTTTAGAGAAGCCAACTTTATGTACAATACACACTAGGAGCTTTTCCTTCAAAGGAAAGTAATACATCCTCTGATCAGCACTGCTCCTTAAAGAATCCTAGTGCAGTTGTTCTCCAGCTCTCTGGTCAGATCACCAGAAGACTGCATTCATCAAAGCTCTCAAAACCCTTTTAACACAGACTGAGCTACAGGAAGTTAAATTTATAATTCTTCAATACTGACTACTGCTCAGGATGATTCTAGGAACTAAGTTCCATGTAAATGATTACATAAAAAATATCACACACTTCAGTTATTCAATGCATGAAGCATACTATTATAACTTCGAAGATGTAGGCTGTTTTTGGTTGTAGGCTCCCTCTGTCCCACCACTTGTCTTTTTATAAGACCTTCCCTGAAACTAGATAAATAAGAACATAATAGTAAAGTACTTTGGGACAGTAACAATTTCTGTTTAAGACTTCCATGAGCAAGACAGTTATATTTTATGAAAACAACGTAGTGCTTTAAAAGATACGTTTTTACCTGTGTTGCTAGGTTAGTTGATGATGTATAAAACTATGTACACCACTGGAGTCCTGATTCTAGAACATTAAAATCCTATTAAAAGAGCTTTGTAAAGATAAATCATGGTGATTGCTACAGCATGAGAAAGGTGCACCAGGAAATCCTTCAAAAAAAATGCTGAAGGTTACACAGAAGGTAAGTGCTGGGATTAGATCAGATGCCCGATCAGAGAAGTCACAATGGAGCACATGCAGGGAAAGGGTGCTGGGGAAACTTCACAAAAATCTTCTTTACGTCAATCAAGAAGAGACATCAGTCCTTGCAAGATGCTCAGAAGACAGTCTTCCTCCCACGTGGCTAAGTTTTACATGGCATCATAGTTTTTGCATTTTTGTTCTCTTCAATGCGGACATCCTATTGCTGGAGTCTGCTCTGGGCTGCGGGAGTCAGTACCGATGGGCCTGGTGAGAGGGGTGGTACTGGGTGCTCTGCTGAGATGAGGAGGAGTAGCCTAGTGTGCTCTGGGACTGAGAGGATCCCTGAACACTGCTTTGGTAATTCAGGCGTGAACTGGAGTGCTAGAAGGAAACAGGAGAAGGGAGTTACTGATGAATGAAGAGATATGGTCATCACAACGGGACGGAGAAGTGAGCCACGTTCATCAGAGGCTCCTGGGTCAGATCCAGCTTAGCTTGTTAATACATTTTGTTGATTGAAAATCATAGCCTGCCACCACTATAACCACACGTTTGGCTGGAATTCTTTGGAGATGAGCTACACTGGTGCACACACACACAAGGCAGTGGGAAACTTCCATTATCCACTGCTCTCTGTGCTGACTAACTCTGGTTAGTCATTCTTTGCATGAGATTTACAAACAAGAATAATTAATTTGGCACATTTGGCCAAAGTTATCCATAATATCTACTGATGCTTGTTAATTTTCTCATTGTAAATAACAAAGCTGTGATTAAGAAATCATTTGTAGAGGGAAAGTTTTCAGAGGCAGAGCCAGAGTGGGGGCAGGAGCAGCACCTCCAGGACAAAGCAAGGCAGAGTTGGGCGGGGCATGGCAGCAATGAGTGGGCTTTATGACCTCAGGTCTACTTAGAATAAAAAAATGTTCATATATGAAAATGCCCTCAGGAGGAGGCAAGCACCAATGTATTTCAATTCAATGTTTTTATTACTTTAAATGAAACATTCACCTTCATAGGGCATATATGAAAAAATATGTGAAAGGAAAATTGGTCTATAGAATTAAAACATGGGGCCTGGTGAAACGGAAGAATAGCTGGGACCAATGTCTTTGGCTATGCTCAGAAGGCCAGTTCTTCCTCCACAAAAAGTGGGAAAGAATATTCATAATAAAGCTATGATTTGTGGTTAAAATGCAAATGACTTTGAAGTGGCACTAGGGTTAAGAAAGGACAAATCAACAAGGTCCCTGCCTCAGGTGCGTAGGCTGCCAAACTGGACTTGCAACATCTGGCCCAGGACAGCAGGGCAGTAAGACAGGCTTGGTTAAACACAACTGACCGGATCCTTCCTAAGTTACACAATTCCCATTAGTGTGTTAGTGTAAGAAGCCTTCCAAAATTCCACATTCTAACTATGTTTTATTTTGAAAGTTTATTATGAAAAAATGTTCTTTCCACTCACAAGCCCTGTGTCAGGCTGGCGAAGACCATTTTCACTTGAGCAGACTGGACACACACACTGGATTTTCCAAACCAGATAAAGAACAAACACAGCGATGATGATAGAGTTGCAAAGAGATGCAAAGGGACTCCCTCTCCTCGTGCTAATCTATCCAACTAACTAGCTGAGAAATCTACCCATGTTATAAATATGCTGTTTTATTTTTAAGTAAATAGCACAAGATGGACAAAGAAAAAAGATTTTGAAGAGCTCTTCAGTTTGAAAGGAATAAAAACAGTAATTAGGATCCTGACAGGGTAGCTCAGTTGGTTGGAGCATCATCTCAATACACAAAGGTTGCGGGGTTTGATCCCCAGTCAGGGCATGCACAAGAATCAACCAATGAATATATAATAAATAAGTGGAATAACAAATCGATGTTTCTCTGTCTCTCACTCTGTTTTCCCTCTAAAATTAATAAACAAATTAAAACAATTTTTAAAGTAATCTGTCCACAATGGACTATAATCAGGTTATTATAACATATAGGCAAAAAGGGGCCACATGCTAACCTGACTAACTCAGGCCTGTGACGTGGCCTTGCAAACTCGAGACCTAAAGTAGCCACAAAGGGTGGTCTGAAATTAAAACTTAAAATTAAAAAGCAGTCTATGGTGGATAATTTTGTCTTAGCCCATTATCTTCCCTGACAAAGATCAACTTTTATCTTAACTGAGCCTATTGTCTTTTTGCATCTATGCTAACATACCTTTGGAATGTCAACTTCCCCCTCCATCCCCACCCCTCAGAGCACAACCAAAGTGCCAGGATGAAGACCACAAATTCCCTCATTGTTACTGGTAACTGTTGATTGATAACTATCTTGTACCCACCTATGTAAAAGAAGCATGTGTCTGTCATTTTACTTTTTAGCCAATCCCAGAAGTTTCCCCGTTTTGCTATCTCCAACCTTTAATCTATCACTATACCCTCCTTTGATGGTAATTTACAAAAACTGTCATTCTCCCAGCAATTGTTGACACAGTTCGCCTCAAATAAACCTCACTTTTTTTTTTTTTTTTTTTACACAGATTTGAATGTTTCTTACCTTAACAAATACAATCAGGGACACAAAGATAAGCCAGTATATAGTAAAGACTTATTGCTCACATAAGAATAAACCAATGGGGGGGGGGGAGGAATCTGAATTTATAATAAAATTCAAAGAGGCTCATAACCTGCTGCTTTTAGAGGATCAAAAGGTAACCTTGACTAGTTTCACTGGAACCAAATGGCAGTGCTGTGCTGTCCCCTTTGGTTGCAGGGAATCTGCCAAGAGAGGTTTTCAGAGACGCAGCTGGGCAGAAAATACATTCATTTTTTAAGATGTTCAAAATGGAAAGCCTGTTTAGGCAGCTATAATATTTATTATATTTTTCCTGTTAATGTTTTTCTTGATTCCAGTTCCTTACCAGTGAGTTTATGGCCCCCTTGCCTGTGGTTTTGTTTTTTATTGTCTCTAACATCACTGCTCCCCCTCCACCAGTTTCTCAAGGGACAACCACGGTTCTAACCTTTTTTCTTTCTACCTTTCATTTAAGTCTTTCTTCTCATTTTTAGACCTTTTCTTAGCTTGTTGCTGCACTGAAAACAAGGTGGCTTTTTTTTCCCCCCCCTCAAGATCCCTGCAGTTTTCATAAGTATTTTTACCTCTCTTCCCAAATACCAAACCTTAATTTTTCTTTAATTTCAAAAATTTGTATTACAACTTAGTTTTCTTTTTTAATCAAAGTACTTTTAGCAGAAAGTATTTTCTAGTCTCCAACTTATTTCTAGTGAGATTTAATGGTTATTTCTGAGAAATTTCAATTTTAATTCTCTTCTATGTTTATGTGGCTATTTACTATTTCCTTCCAATGACAGCAAATCTTTCTGGTATATAGCTATTTTGTCCAAAATATGCTACCACTCTTCTCTCTTTTCAATTGCTTATCTAGGTATCTTTTTCTGGTCCAAAGCTGAAAGGCAGCTGTCTGAGCAAAAGAAGAACTTTTCTTTGAAGAGGAAGGGGCTTGCCTCAGCTTTTCTCCTTGGGGTGTCAGGATAAACAAGTCAAGAGAGAAATATCTCACAATTACATGAAATATAAAAAAGATATTCATTTTCATATAATGCCCAAGAAACAGGATTTACAGTTTGTACAAACTTTAGAGTTAAGGGCTATTTAATTCTAAAAGCATTGATTTAACAAAATGTATCAACATTAAAAGTACAGAATCCAGGGGAGTACCTGATACTCTGAGGGCATGACAGGCCCGCCTGAGTTTGCGCCTGAAGGCCCCAGCCGCGGCTTCTTGCTGGGAGGCACCTGGTTGAGGCCCGAGTCCTGACTGTGCTGCAGCCCTGCTGCGGTGCCCCCGGCCCCAGCCCCGGCCCCTCCTGCAGTCCCATTGGTCTGGCTGCTGCTCTGCTGCTGAGGGGGCGCCTGCGCAGGTGCTGCTGTCTGTGCTGGAGGGACCGTGGGCTGCTGATGTTGGTTCTGTTGCTGTTGCTGATTCTTGGGAAGGAAAAAAGCAGGCTTGGTATGGAACTAAATTAACAGGAAATGTCTTTCAATACCTGATGTACTGAGCCAACCTGCAGGGAGACCCAGCTGGGACACCAAAGTGGCTGGAATGGCTGGAAAATGGAGCAGCCAAGGACTACAGCATCCCCAAAGGTCAAAGTGCTGCGCCCGGAATGGGAATCATTCTCTGGGGTCCATTCAATTGCATAGTAATCCTCCGACCAGACACAGACGTCCCACTGAAGACCACAGGCACACAGGAAATAGTTCTGTCCTCATTAAAACAGCTCAAATAGTCTTTCGAGAGTAATTTTCTGTACAGGGTGTGGGAAGGGCCTTATATCTCTAAGTGTATCAAGAATAGAAAGGTGCTTTGAAAAGTAGCCTGCACAAGGTGATGGTAATAATGTTGAACAAACAAAAAGCAAGAATGAAGAGTCAAGGAATAAAATCCTATATAACAAAAGCCTAATATGCAAACTGTCCCCTCACCTGGACACCCTCCCCCTGATCAGCCTCCCCATTCCTAATTCGTGCACTGAGCCTCTAGTAGGCTATAAAACAAATCAGAAGGCCATCTATTAACTTATTACATTTCAAATTTCAAAGCATACCTACATAAATACAGATTTAAACAAAAGGTGATTAAATACATAGGGATTATCCTATATAATGAAGATGTAATATGCAAATAGTCATTAACAACCGACTGCACAACAACCAGATCACGGATCAGCAGGAGGATGGGGCAGCGAGCTACAAGTGGGTGGTGGAGAGCTACAGGAGAGGGCAGGGCAGCAAGCTATAAGGGGGGGGGGGGGGCAGGGAGAAGGGGGTGTCACAGGAGGGCAGGGCAGCAGGCGGAGAGCTACTGGCGCGTGGCAGAGTTACTGGGAGCTACTGGTGCACGGATTCAAGTGCAGGGCTACTACCCTGTTTCCCCGAAAATAAGACAGTGTCTTATATTAATTTTTGCTCCCAAAGATGGGCTAGGTCTTATTTTCAGGGGATGTCTTATTTTCGGGGAAACATGGTAATTACATTATACTTCCCTATGTTCTCTTTTTGCCTCCTTACTCTCGAAGTGAAAATGTACTGTGCAGTTCATACCTTATCACCTTTCTCTTCAGGTTCGTCTTCATTTAGGAATTCTCGTTTGGGGTATGGAATCTGGCAGCCAGCAAACACACTAAGAATCATTACAAAGAAAGAAATGTCATGACAGAAAATGGACAATATCACTGACCTTGTTAATTTAAAATTCCATTTTTTTCTCAATGTATTTCCTATTCTTCATCTGTGATTGGTGCTTGCTAGATGTCTCCCATCACAACTTAATTAAATCATTAAAAAATAATTCGTTGTCTTAATTTTACACGCTGCCATGCTCATTAACAAATCTTAGCTGTTGTTAGGGAGCTGACATATATGACAGAATTTCTCCACACAAACTTCATTGGCACTAATAACTGAATTTGTATTTGCTTCAACAAAGAAAATAACTTTTCTTCCAAGAAAAGCTGCACCTCTAACAAACCTAAGCACACTGATATACATAGGTATAAGAGAGGATGGAGACACACTGACTTTTAACTTCTCAGTTCCCCACTGGTTCCATTTAAACTGTTCTGACTGACCTTCTATAAAAGTCCCATTTGTCCCATTTGTTTTTATCAGTAAAACTGATTAATCATCATTCCTAAAATACTTCTTTTCATTCACACCTCTCCACAGCTTTGCCTCCTTCAAAATACAAGACCTTTCTCGTAAGTACTTTTTTTCCAAAGTAGCATTAATGAAGAAAGTAAAATACTTCAAAACAAATGCTCTCTTGCTTTCTGCCACTACCTGACACCGTCACCTGGAGCAAAGGACACAGAAAAGGTAGGGTACATACTCCAATGTTGGCAAGGGGTCCTCCTGAAAATAGGGGTCCTGCAGAGCTTGTTCTGAGGTGATTCTCTTAGTTGGATCCATAGTGAGGAGTTTCTGAAGCTAGGGTAACACAGAAGAAATTGATAACACATGAAAAAGTTGTTTACAAGTCAGTTTTGACTTTTATATTAATGTCTAACAGGATTAATTCAAATGCTATTTTGTACAGCTCACTGCATGATTAGCACACTATACACATTTATGTGGAACTGGCAAAAAATCATTAAAGCAGTTTTAGAATTTAATTCATTTTCTGCTGATAAAATTATTGGGGGGAAATAAGGCTAAAAGTTATGAATAACATCTCAAAATAAAAATATTTAATTTGACCCAGCACCCACTGATTTCTTTTCCTTCCAAAGAGAAGGAACAGCTGGGACAATTCCATGGCAAATGGAATGAGGTGAGAGCTGCACTGGGTTCTGACTTCCCAGTCTGGGGGGAATGCACCTACCAAGAGGAACACTTTGCTGTCAGGCTTGACCTTGTGTTTTTCCATGTACTTTATGAGGCTACTGTTGGCGTATCTGTAAAGACATAACAATCAGACATCGTTGGGAACACTATACCATCCATAGAATGGAAAGCTCAAAGACTGGATTCTCCTATAAGGTATGTTTGTTCTGATTAAAAAGAAACACACACCAAACATTGGTAAGGATGTGAAGAAATAGGAATTGTTATACACCACATGCAAGAGTTTACATTTTTACAATCACTTTGGAAAATAATTATGCATTAATCATTAGAGTTGAAAATGTAAATATCTTATGACCCAGCAATTCTTTCCCTAGGTACATAATCTAGTCTAAGAGAGATTTTTAAAAATATATATATTTTTATTGATCGCAGAGAGGAAGGAAGAGGGAGAGAGAGATAGAAACAACCATGATGAGCCAAAACCGGTTTGGCTCAGTGGTAGAGCGTTGGTCTGCGGAATGAAAGGTCCCGGGTTCGATTCCAGTCAAGGGCATGCACGTTGGCTGCGAGCACATCCTCTGTAGGGGATGTGCAGGAGGCGGCTGGTCGATGTTTCTCTCTCATCGACGTTTTTGGCTCTCTATCTCTCTCCCTTCCTCTCTGTAAAAAATCAATAAAAATATATATTTTAAAAAAAGAAAAAAAAAAAAGGAAAAAAAGAAACAACCATGATGAGAGAGAATCATGGACCGGCTGCCTCCTGCAAGTCCCTAACTAGGATAGAGCCCACAACCCATGCATGTGCCCTTGACCAGAATTGAATCTGGTAACCTTGAATCTGTAGGCCAACGCTCTATCCACTGAGCCAAACCAGCTAGGGCTAAGAGAGATTTTTGCACATGCATAACAGGATACATAGACAAGAAAATTTCTTGGCAGCATTTTGGTAATAGAATAAACTGTAAATAACCCAAATGTATATCTGCTAAAGAATGGGTAATTGTTATATATTAACATAATAGAATGCTAACAATAATAAAAATGAATACAGAGGTTGAATGAGAAAAAACATAGTGCAGAAAGTATGATACTATTTATATAAAAAGTTCAAAGATACATTAAATTGAACAATAATTTATTTGTAGTAAACCTATAATGAAAAATGAGGAATGATAAATACAAATTCAGAACAGGGTCTACCCTTTGAGAGGGACATGAACAGGAAGGGAGGGTACATAGAGTAATTCTGTAATCTTAGTAATGTTCTATTTCTTTGGTTGAGGGGTGAGGTAGAAGGGTATTCATTTATTATTCTAAATAAGCTATACATATCACATACATTCGTTCCTATATATTAAATATTTCAAATATAAATCAATAAAAAATAGAAAATACATGTTCATGGCAGAAAATTTAGAGAATATAGTAGAGTATAAAGAAGAAAATTAAAATCACTCATAATCAAGCCATTCAGTGATAAAGAACCACTGTCAAGATTTTGATAATTTCCTGACATTATACACACACACACACACACACACACACACACAAAATTATACAAACAGTGAGAGATTTTTGTTTTGTTTTTATAAAACTGGGATCATATTGCATAAATTGCCCTCATTTTTTTCACTTAATATTGTTTTATAAGTATTTTTCCTTGTCAAATGTTCTTTAAACTTATTATCTGTAGTGGGTGCATATCTCCTACTGTTACTAATGTGTTTCACACAAGTTATTATTCACCTGGTACACATTGTAGGGGATAGTACTGCAAGCAGGTGAAAATCAGAGACACCTACCGGACCCTGACTGACTGTTACAAGTGTATGATCTTGGGCAGTTAGCACTATGAAAGACTTAAATTCCTCATTTCAAATTAAGGATTATAATTATACCTACATTACAGAGTTGTTATAATGGATCATATGAGAAAATGTAGGTAAAGGATATAGGACATGCCAGGCACACAGTAAGTACTGAGTTAGCTTCTCGAATTGCTTCCACAGAACAAATTCTTGGAATTATTTGGTCAACGCATATGTACATTTCAAAGCCCTTTTTATGTGCTCTAGAACCCTGCTACACAAACCTGGCTTCCAGATCTGCAGCTTGGGCACCTGAGAGCCTATATTAGAAATACAGATTCTGCCTGGCTGGCATGGCTCAGGGGTTGGGTGTTGACCTACGAACTAGGAGGTCATAGTTCAATTCCCATTCAGGGCATTTGCCCGTTTTGCCAATCAATGATTTTCTTTCATCATTAATGTTTCAATCTCTCTCTTCCTCTCCCTGCCTCTCTGAAATCAATAGAAATACATGTGTGTTTTTTTAATTCACAATGTCTAGGCTATAGAACACAAAGTGAAGAGTGGTTTATGAGATGAATTTGGTGATGTAGAAGCCAACCTTTTGTTAGCTACATTAAGGAATTGAAAACAACAGTGACTGAAGAGCACTAGAAGACCGACATGATCAAACCTGCTTTTGGCAATGATTGCAGTGTAGACAGTGAGCTGGAATGAAGACTGGAGGTAGAAAAACCACTTAGTAGGCCATTTCAAGATTCTGGGTGAGACAGTGGTGGTCTGCATTTTAAAGTGGCAGGGTGAATGGAGAGAGATACAATGATTCAAAGGAAATTTAGAATAAAGAACTGACTAGATTTACTGTTTGGACACTGGGAAGCAAAATGGAAGAGAGTGAGATTAGGGATATCTCCATGCTTTAGCTTCAATAATTAGGTGAATTGTGTACATTGAGTAGTATAAGATACATAAATAGGAAGGAAATAAAGCAGAGGAGAAGTTTGGGAGGATAAATGATGAATTCAATTTGGGATATTTAACTGAAGTTTTTGTGGACACTGAAACTGAGATTCCATAAGACAATTAGATAAATGGGTCTGAAACTTAGAAAAGAAATCTAAGTAGGATATATTAATTGGGAATTATCAGCATAACTGACAGTAAAATGTGGCCATTGGGATCATGAGGACTTCCTGGAGAGAGTGAGGAGAGAAAACCTTGAGCGATATCAAGGCTATCTGTAAGAGAGGCCATTTGAATGAAAAGAGAGGAGGCTAATACTCCCCTTGACAAGAAGGAAAGAGGCTCTTGAGTCTGTCAATGGCATCTAACCATAGAGTTTGTGTGTGTGTTTTCAGAGGTAGGTAGAGGTAAAGGACCTACCAAGGACTGTGTAACAGAGGGGCCAAAAAGGATGAGTGCCATTCTCTACTTGTATTTATGATGTCTGCTTTTGTTCCTATAAGCCTGAAATTTTCCCATTAAGTTGCCCAAAAGGGGGCCTCCTTCCCCTTTTCCTCTAAGCATATACACTTATAATAAAACCCTTTTATGTACCTTTCCTCTCCTCTTGTTTCTACTCAACATAAATGCCTTGCCAATTACTCAGATCCCTGCTGCCATGTGTTCTTCCTCTGTCATCTTGGCAGCTAGCCCAGCATTTCGGGCACCAGTCATTACTCAGAGAAAGATAAAAATCATAGTTGTGGCCCTGAACTGAGCCCTTTATCCTGCTAAGATGGAGGAGATATTTAAACTATCTATTGTCCCTTAAGTTTATAGGAGTTTTTAAATATTGCAGCATAAGCCTGCCATATATGTGAACATCTCTAATACCTACTTAAAATCATAAGCATAATGAATATTTTTAAAAATCTAGGTTTCTAGTTTAAATAATCTATGTCTGTTTTTTAAGATTAAATATTCCCAATGAAATGACTACTTATATTTAATATGGAGTTACTTACGTTGTTCTTCTAAAGTCTTTTTGAAGTGTGGGGTATTCTGGCATCTTTCTAATATCTTCCCAGTCTTTATCTTACAAAAAAAATATTGAATGTTGTTAAAGGAAATATGTTAATTTGATAAAATAATCTCATAGTTATTTTAGCTCAAAATAATCTCATAGTTATTTTAGCTTAATCTCAAAGTTATTTTATAACTTTAAAAGTATGCTTTTAAAAAGAATTTTGAAATAGGACTCAAATATTCTGAAAAGAAAATAAATTACCTGCAGGAAACCCCATGACACTAAATATCCGATCGAGTTGATCATGATGAAAGGGATTACTTGTTTTTATATCTTCCTGACGACAGTGAAAAATTGGCTCTGAAGTCAACAATTCAGCAAATATGCAACCTATTGCCCATATATCTATGAAGAAAGAAAAGCAAGTTTTTGTACACATTTATTATATTTCTTTGGTTGTAATTCCTGGGTAAAATCACAGCTTACACATAAAAACACTTTTCAGTACAGCAATATACAAAACACAATAAGTGTATTAAGAAAACATATATATGATACATGAACAGATGATTACCACACAATACATTGAAAGCTAAATAAAAAAACATTTACCTATACATTTCCTAATGAAGATAAGCTTAGGAAACTCAATTTAGTAAGCAATGAATTTACTTTATATATAGGCAAAAGTCTTCCTAACCACTATTCAATTGATAATCGACTACTCAAACATGATAGACTAAAACAATATCACCATGAGGTATAGCAATTAATTACATAATTAACCGAAACCGGTTTGGCTCAGTGGTAGAGCGTCGGTCTGCGGACTGAAAGGTCCTGGGTTTGATTCCGGTCAAGGGCATGTACCTTGGTTGCGGGCACATCCCCGGTAGGGGGTGTGCAGGAGGCAGCTGGTCGATGTTTCTCTCTCATCGACGTTTCTAGCTCTCTATCCCTCTCCCTTCCTCTCTGTAAAAAAAAAAAATCAATAAAATTAATTACATAATTATAGAGCAGAATGTCTGAGTCCAACAGTAATACCACATAAAATTATTTGGAAAAACTCAACTTTTGGCTGAAAGACTACCAACTTCAGTTTTTCAAGAAATTCTAAGGTTTAGACGTTGATAAATACAGAAGTAGACAGACACCAGTAAAGAAAGATTTTATCTAAATACACTCAGTCAGGGGTGGGGAATGTCCAGCCCAAGGGCTCTCTATAAAGCCCACAAATTTTGTCTGGCATGTACAAGGCATTAAGGGTAAGTTAATTACATGTCTAACTAAATATAGCAGGCTAATTTATAAGCGGATAACCAAATGGCCCTTGGTAGAAAACAGGTTCCCCACCTCTGACTTAAGATGTTTCCTCTTAAGATGGCAGCATAAACACCTAAACTGCAGCCTCGCACAACAATTTCAAAAATACAACTAAAAGACAAAACGGACATCATCCAGAATCACAGGAAAGCTGACTGACTGGAAATTCTACAACTAGAAGGAAAGAGAAAACCACAAGGAAAATCAGAGGAGCTGTAAAACCCTGAGGTACAGAGACACAGGCACACGTGCGAGCGTGCAGAGAGGACGGAGCCAGAGAAGGTGGGGCGGCTGAATGCTTGGCCTGTGTTTTCTAGCAGGAAAGCAATAAAAGCTCAGGACTGCACTGAACCCTAGTTGCTACTGCACTGAACCCCAGTTCCGGGCGAGACCCTGGGGACCCAGTCTCATACAGGGAGAATCTGGGTTGTAAGGCGGAAACTCAGGGGAGTGGCAAAAGGCAGAACTCCAGAGGCATGCAGGTGAATGTGTGCAGAAGACATACTGTTGACTGTGCTGCTGGATTGCCCTAGTGGCAATAAAAGCTCCAGACTGTACTGAACCCCAGTTCCAGGCGAGCATCTGAGAATCCATATTCATTTTGGGAAAGACTAGCCTATCTGACAGTGGGTGAAACTCGAGGTCGCCTTTCTCTCAGAGAGGTACACTGAGACCCAGGAACCTCATAGGGTGGGGCTGAAGGAAGTCAAGGCTGTAGGCCCACCCTGAAATTCCGACCCGTACAAGCTGAGCACAGAGGCTTTTACAATTTTGCAAGTCTAGTCAAATAAGGCTGTCTCCCGGCATAAACACAATTGATCCTCACAGTCAGTTGGCCTGGAGGTCAACTCCTCCCACTAATACCAACAACAATCAAGACTTAACCTATAACATGGTTGTATACTAAGGTGACCAGACGTCCCACTTTTGGCGGGACAGTCCCGATTTTTAACAATTTGTCCCGCTTCCCGAGGCATTTGAAAAAAGTCCCGATTTTTGGAAAGAATGCACGACAAGCTAGGGAATGGCGGGAGAACGGGAAGGGAATATACAGTTTTCGGCGGCCATGTGGCTATTTAGCCAGGATATGAGTTTTATATTATTTTTGTTAATTTTATAATGTTAAACTTTAATAATAACAAATAATTGTTGAGAACTGATTATCGAGAACTGCTTATCAAAGTTTGCATTGTTGATCAGTTGTTAGAATTCGATCACCATTGTTTGGACTTAATGAACAATGGCATTTTTTGGAATTGGCAACAACGAAAACATTTTGTAACCGTTTCTCAGACGATAATACATTGTACTGCGTGCTAGTAAGCTAGTTAAACAAGTGATGTCAATACAAATCAGCTATTCAGATAATTTAGGTAAGTTATTTATTTATTTGTTTGTTTGTTTATTTATTTATTTCATAAATACATAAATTTTCTTGAATTTAGCAGACAGTACTCGTATTATTTGTATTTTATAGTGGCGGCAAAAAGTCTAGTGCCGGCTTTAAAAGTGACACTTACGACTGTACATAATTTTTATTTATTTATTATATTTGTAAATTGTACTTGTGTTGAAATTTTTTAAAAAATATTACAATACTATTTTTGCGTTCTATGAAAATTTTGTTGCTCCATATAGACCAAATTTTTAATTAAGAACCTCCCCCCGCATCCCCAGTCAATGGTGTCCCACTTTACTAATATTAAAATCTGGTCACCTTACTATACACACAGTCCACAAAGAGGTGCACCAGGAGTAACTGGGGAGACCGAGCCACTGGCCCATATAGGACACAAAGCTACCCTACCAACTCAGGGAAACAGTGAAAATGCGGAGACAAAAAAACAGATCACAAATGAAAGAAATGGAGGAAAACAAATAGAGATATCGAGTTCAAAACCATGGTTTTAAGGTTTTTCAAGAATTACCTAGAAAAGGCCAATAAATTTAACAAGACCCTTGAGGATATGAGAGAGACCCTCGAGGATATAGAAAAGGACCAACTAGAAATTAAACATACACTGAATGAAATAAAAAATATTATACAGATACCCAACAGGGGGTGGGAGTGTCCTTCAGCCCAGCCTAAACCTTCTCCAATCTGGGACCCCTCAGACATCCCTCACAATCCAGGACTGCTGGTTCCTAACCATTCGTTTGCTTGTCTTCCTGATAGCCCCCTAACCGCTCCCCTGCAGGCCTGATTGATGCCTAACTGCTCCCTGCTGGCATAATCATCCTCAACTTCCCTCCCCTGCCTGCCCAATTGCCTCCAACTGTGGGGCTGAGGGAACTGGGGGACTCCGGCTGGATGAAGCAGGGCTGAGAGGACTGGGCACTGCCATCTTGTGGCTGTGGGGGCCATCATCTTGTGAGGGCATTGCAGTCAATTAACATATTCCCTCTTTATTAGATAGGATTTTTGTTTCCCTTTTTATGAGGAGTAGGTTAATTATCCAAATGTAAGAACTTGCTTTGTAGTTCTTTGGGTGTCACCAAGTTTTTCATAAGCTTAACAGAAAGGACTGTGCTTATTTGTCTGTAAAAGGAAAATCTAAAGAAATATACTCCCTCCCTACCCTCTCTTTTTACCTCTTTTAAAGAAATCTCTAGATTTGAGGAAGATTCCTCTTCTTAACTCCCTTAGTTTGCAGCTGGATCCTCTGAGAACAATATAGTGACCAGGTAGCAAAATCTCTGATGCTTCTGTTCTGAAGCTGACTTGAAATCCTACAGAGAGTTATGTTTGTAACAGATTTTTCTATTCAGTTGTTTCTTTTTTTTACCTGGAGAGATGGCAAGATGCTGAGCATACATATAGCTAACATACCAAGAGTCTGTCTATTTTCTACCTTAATGGAGAAACTGCCATACTGTAATGGCAAGAGAAAAAGATGAGTCCTAGTTTCTTGCTTCGGAAAGGCTAACTTTTCCCCAGATAGAAGGGTTCTCCTCCAACACCACACTACTCCTGTGTTTCTGTTTGTGAAGAAACAATTTCTAAACCTCTCTCCAGTTCTTCTGATTGATAGTAGGTGAGTGCAAAATAAAATTTACGTTATTATTTCCATAGCACCTCAGTGGACCAGATACCTCTATTTGCTGAAAGAAAATGCTTTTTTCTTTAAAGAATCATTTTCTCCTATACAGTTAAAAATCCAAATCCAACTGATTGCAAAATCTAGGAGTACAAAAGATAACAGGACTTTCACAAAGAGACAAAAAGTTGTTTTTACAAAGCAGTTTCATTACTATACCATTTGATATTTAGAATAATTCAATGCCAAGTAATTAAATCATTTTAGACTAACTTACCAATGGCTTTTGTATAATGCCTTGCACCAAGCAAAAGTTCTGGAGCCCGATACCAAAAAGTCACAACTACTGGATCCAAATCTGCTAGCGGCTTTAGAGGAGAATTGAATAATCTGGCAAAACCCATGTCAGCTAAAAAATAAAATAAATTAACATGAAACTCAGTCTGGCATGCTACTGAAAGCATGCAAAATTGATGACAATAATTAGTGCCCTTATAAAGCAAGGCCTTTCCTCCATTTTCAACCTTCTGAGGAAGATAATATTATTGTTCCCATTTTACTGATGAAGAAACTAAGGCTTAAAGATATTCTGACTTGCCCAAGGTCATAGAACTACTAAGTACAGAATCAGAATGAGAATCTAGGTCTGATTTCAGAATCCTGTCTTTCAGAGATAGCTACAATAATATTCTTAGATTTTTTTTTTTAATTGAAGGAACAAAAAACAATTTGAAAGATAATCTAAGTTTCAATGATGTTTACTGTAAACATCTAAAAATGAACTAAATCTTAGGTCAGTGTATGCTAGAATCAGTTCTTTTGGACTCATGAGAGCTGTCTGGTACATATCTAGTCTCAACTCTGAGTTCAGTGACATCATGTTGGTGGCTTGAAACTGGCTGTGGTGAGAATATTTACATCTTAGAATACAGCAAATGCTACAAATTGGGGCTTTCCCCCCTAGGCCACATCGCATACATGTTTCCAAGAACATGTAGAGAATGTATGAGATAATTTGTTGTAATTCAGCATTAACAAAGACCTGTATCAAAGCTAACTGATTTGATTATTAGAGGAGTACAAAAGCAGTAGAAAGAATACTCATTACTAAAGAAGGTCCTGGGGACCATCTAATTTTTTTAAGATTTCATACACAACAAATACCTACATCTACAAAACACTTTAGAGTTTTACAAGCTGTTTTTAGATACATCATATATCCCTTCATTTAATCCTTATAAGAATACTGGTTTAGTAAGTGTTTTGGTCCCTACTTCTGAGATAAAGAGTCTAGGGGCTGAAGCAGTTAAATGACTTACCCATGGTTATAGGGATACTAAGTAAAGATGTCAGTACTCAAACAAAAACCATATTATAATCTAGCAGCTACATTCTTAACCACTGATCTGATATTTAATTATAATATTATAATAATAACTGTATGTCACAAAGGCAAAAGTCACAAAAATTATAAACCCCTATACTTTGAAATAAATAATATACACAGTATAACTTTACTATAATGGGCCCCAATTAACTATAAAATACACAATTAGTACATAAAATTTCTACAGTACAGAGAATCATTTAATCTAAAACTAATGCTATGATATAATATACATTAAAACTTTAATTTAAAGTGATATTATTTCTTCAGAGTTTGAATAATTTATAAGACTTCCTGGAAATGCTTTGAAGAATCCAGGTCTTAAAAAACAAAGCTGCCCAAGGAAGCCTGTGCTAAAGCCTACTCGTCCTTAACTAAATTTCCCTATTGCAAACAACAATATTCAAACCATTCTACCAATATTATACCTACTTCAGAGCACTGTTTGTAAATTTAACACATGCTGACTGTTGTTGATGGCAAAGTAGTATGATAGAATGCTGCTCCACCCACTGAAAAACATTTTGTTTTTAAGTAAAGCCTAAAACCAGGTTTCTCCCCTTACTTTCTACTTCCTTAATTTTTTGTAAGCCACATCTATTCACTGTCAAAGGAAAGACCAGAGGACACAATGTACATTCTTGGAAACAATCTGTGCCTATTATATGAACTTCAAAGGAGTTTTATTTGTTTTTTATTTTTTTAATTACCAGATTGTAGATACAAAATAATTAGCCATTTACATGCAATAAACATTAATATTTCAAGAAAATTATAAAAAATATAATAATGTTACATGCAACAAACATTAATATTTAAATCAAAGGAGTTTTAAACCATTTTTCAAATATTTACTAATTCAGACAAAAGGTTACAAGCTTAAACATTACTGACAGTTATTTTCCTAAAATTAGATAGGAATGAAATTTTCAATCAGTCGGCAGCAGTAGTAAAATTCTGTGTGGGTGCTAATTAGGCAGTATGAAATTATAAAAAAACATCAAAAGACACTGTCTACCATCAAGGAGCCTGCATGAAGGGGAGAAAACAAAATACAGAGCAGACAAAAATAAAAAAGGGTAAGCTCTGTTAAGGAAAGGAAAGCTGCTCTGGACTGTAAGCCTCCTGAGAGAGTCTCGGTCTCCATGGCTTTCTCCGGAACAATGCTTGATGAACATCTGTACAAGTGAACCAAACTGAAAGCAGAGCTGGAGCTGAGTGCTGAAGGAAGAATGTTTGTGAACAGTAAAGAAGGCAGTAAGTATTTTAGGTAAGGCCTGGGAGTCTTTAGGTTGCTGAGGAGGAAAGGGCTCAAATACAGAGAAGGGCACAATGTGTTTTCCATTCAACTATGCTTTTCTTTTTTGCCAAAAAGAACAGTATTATAGCATTAAATATAGGAATCAGGGTATTACTAATTTTTTAAAAATAATGTTATTAAAATTTAAAGCATTCTTTCAACTAAATTGTTTGCTTGACCTTTTTTATTAATTTTTATCCCTGGTTTTATCCTTAATCTTAGATCGAATTTCAATCCTAAAATTTTTAATGATAAGGCTAGGATACAGAATTTTATGAGTAACAGTAGAGATATTTGGAGGAGATATTAAACTTGGGTGACTGTGCTCAATGTGATGACAGGTACAAACAAGGGAAAGTATAAGATGATGATGACGATGAATTTGGTCTAAAATAATGGAGTGTAGGTTGCCAATAGAAAACAAATAGAGATAAGAATTTCAGCTAAGGTGAGAGAATGGAACCTGAGATTCAGATCCTAGAATAATTCCCTAAAGAAGTAATTGTAGAAGAGATAAGCCATGTCCAAAGCCAGTGCCCAGGGTGTCTTGAAACTAACGGTTAATAGAAGTAAGAGGCAAAATGAATCAAATATATAAGTAACAGCAAAAGTGGTATATAGAAAAACAGAATTATATGATGTCATATAGACCAAGAAAAAGTCTCAAGGCCAAACTGGTTAGGAGAACAAATAGCTAAGGCAGTAAAGGAAAGCAGTGACTAGATTTGGTAAGACAGAGTTCAAAGGTATCTTTTTAGAGAGCAGTTTAATTGAGGAATGGAATTAAGAGGCCAGATTATAACAAATCAGCTTTAGTGGAACCAATGGGTGAATATACATTCTAGAAGTAAGAACAAAGTAGGGGACACAGAACAAATGATACAGAAAACAAGATGGATATGAGATTTATTTTAAAGTTGGGAAGAGGACCGTGAATGTTTAAAGGTGAAGAGGAGAAACTTGAGAGTGAGACTGGAGGTGCCACAATATAAGAAGCTGAAGGTTAGCAGGAAGATTATTGAAGCTAAGAAGGGCTCTAGATGGGCCTTCGGAGGAAGAGTCATTCCTTCTCTGGCAGTTTCTAAGGCAGGGCTGTGCTACAAAAAGTGGTTGATGAGGTTACACCAGGTAGCTCTGCTATCACTAGGTAGCAATGTTGGTAGGGAAAGAGACTCTGGACTTGAAATTCGAAGTCCTTCCTTATATACAGCTCTCCTTATATACATTATCTGCCATATAGAGTGGTTGAGTAAAATATCACACTGGAAAGTAATCTGTTTATTTCACTGCCTCTCACAGGAAAGAGCCATCCTTTATCTCCATTTTCATCAGTTTTTAGCAAAGGTAGGTACTCAATAAATGCCTATAAGAAAAAGAACGTTAGGAGGGAGAAACAAGTGAGGAGAGGTGTAAAGGTGATGGGGAGGGAAAGAGAAGGGGAAGGGGAAGGGGAAGGAAAGCAGTGACCTGGTTCTTAATTAACATCAACAAAACTGAATGACGGAATCTCAGAATTGAGGTTTAAAGAAAGGGAAGTTGGTTTAGAGCAGGTTCTTCAGGGCCTGGACTAATGTATTAACTTCAGAAGTAGAAGACCAAGCAGCAGGCTGGCTCGGTGGAAGTAGGACAGAAAGACTTTGTAGTAGGTTAAGTTAGCATAACTTTGCGCCACCCCTACCATGATACAGTCTAATAGCCAAGACAACAGGTTGATGAAACAAAATTTATTCTGAAATCCTTCTAAAAAGCATTGAACATTCAATAAACGTTATTTCTAATAAAAGAAATTAAAGCATTTCTTAGCTAATTTTCTACCCAAATATTGTCAGGTATAAATGAATCCTTCAGGATTGAAAGGGAAATTTTAATATACAGATAAGACTCTTTTCAGGGCATGTTGGTGCCTGGCACAGGACATAGGTGGGATAGGGGAAGGATATTTGTGAAGCTCTATATGTATTAGGTGAGAGTGGGAGGAATGTATTTAAGGAAAGAACATTTGGTAAAGCTGAGACAAAAGTAACATTTTTGGGGATTATGTTTAGGGTGACTATGCAGGACAGTAATAGTGACATACACACATACTTGGGATTTTGATTTGGAATGAATTTTTGCTTGCTTGCCTCCGTTTAGAATTATGAAACCTTGTTTTGGAAATAAACCAGAGGGGTTTTATAAACTATCTATATTTCCTAATATCTCTTCTAAAAATGTGAGAAATAATTTTTAGGTTAACTACTTAAATAAGAATATTAAAAAGGGAAACAATCTTTGCAGTCACTTCAGTATCTTAATAAATTATTTTAGAAATAATTACCTACCTATTTTGACTCTCCCCCTCTCAGGACCTTCTCCCATTACTAGGATATTTGCTGGTTTCTAGAAATAAAAATAGAGCATTCAAATTACTATGCTTATTCTTTTGACATGCTCTAAAATGAAAAAAAGTTCTTATAATGTGAAAAAGTTCTTATAATATTTGGTATTTTCAACATAACTATAATCAAATATTAAGTACCCTCTACATAGTTAAAGCATTTGACATTTTTAAAGTTAGCACTAACTTTCCATAAACACCCTTGCTATGGAAATATCTTATATTCAAAATTATAACATACAAATAATTACAAATGAATTAAAGCTGTCATTTCTATTTGTCCCACAGAAGTAATGAGTAATAATAATGTAAAAACCTGTACAAATTATAACTGTCTGCTTGCTGCCCACAACAGTTTTTGTGGTTGAAAATTTTATATAAAATTTCAAACCACAACATAATCAGATGTAATATTCTTTCTAAATATTTCTAAACTACTGTAAGAAAATATGATCAACATTCAACAGATTCCATTAAAATTCATACATGGCTTCAGCTATACTTTATGCAAAAGTGAGAAATTCAAAATACTATTTCAAGATGTAATAAAATAAACACCGAGGCTAATACAAAGCTACATAAGGAAAAGAGTAGGCTGCAAATGTGTCCACCATCTGTTAAGTTGTCCCCATTTGTAGACATCTGGAAATAGAAACTGCTAAAATAGGGCTTTGGACAATGAGCCTCCTCTGTAAACTCCATTTCCAAGGTCTTCTCAGTGAAATGGAGGAGTTACGAGGGAGGTAACATCTTAAAGGAGAAGTTAAAATTAGCAGGACTTTCTGACTAACTGAAGTCAGAAAATTAAGAAAAGTTTGATAGACTGCACCAAGATTTTGAGTTTATCTGACTGGGAAGAATGATGATGTCTTTATTTTGGAAGAGTTATGAGAAGTACTTGTTTAGGAATAACAAAGAGAGGGAGAAGACATATTGAGTTTGAGGAAAGTGAGATGCCTAAGTCAGACTAGCCAGAGTAGTGAAAATAGGAAGATTTGGATTTGAAAGTTACTAGTGTGTTAACTGAGGATAAAAGATAAGATTGGTTTACCATAGCAGAAAGAGAAAAATAGCATCAGACAAAAACAGAACATTCAAAATTCAAGCTTGACAACTATTTATCAAAGATCCATTATTTATAAAACATTGTATTAGAGATTTTCAAGAAACAAAGAAAATTTCTTGACTCAAGGAGTTTAAAACCTAGTAAGAAAAGACAGATTCCATTAAAATTCCATTAAAATTTTAGAATACAACATATTATGAAAGTACCAAAACAGCAAAATAAAATGTCAGGAAACAATGATTCTTCTCAATGAATATTAGTCTTTAGCAAATATATTTTTAAAATATATTTTTTATTGATTCTTTACAAAGAGGAAGGGAGAGGGATAGAGAATTAGAAACATCGATGAGAGAGAAACATCGATCAGCTGCCTCCTGCACACTCCCCACTGGGGATGTGCCCACAACCAAGGTACATGCTCTTGACCGGAATCAAATCTGGGACCCTTCAGTCCTCAGGCTGATGCTCTATCCACTAAGCCAAACCAGTTAGGGCAGAATGACTAAAATTTTGATAAGCATAAACAAAAGAATGACTTTTCAGGTTCAGGACGCCCTACAAGCAAGGGTATGGTCACAAAATCACAGACATGGCATACTGAAAGAACCTAAAATGTTTTGATCTGACTAGAACATAGAATGCTCAGTGCAGAAATAAGACTGGAAACAATGTTGAAAATAAAATTGGGATTTAGCCCAGTCAGTGTGGCTCTGTGGTTAAGCACTGACCTATGAATCAGGAGGGTACGGTTCGATTCCTGGTCAGGACATATGCCCAGTTTGCAGGTTAGATCCCTGGTGTGGGACATGCAGAAGGCAGCCGATCGATGATTCACTCTCATCATTGATGTTTATATATCTCTCTCTCCCATTTCTCCTTCCTCTGTGAAATCAATAAAAATATATATATAAAAAAAGAAAAAAAAAAAAAAAAGAAAAAAGGAAAAAAGAAACGGAAATTTATTCTATAGGCTAAGCCAGTGATCGGCAAACTCATTAGTCAAGAGACCCAAATATCAACAGTACGATTGAAATTTCTTTTGAGAGCCAAAAACTGACTTCTGCACATGGGCCATGAAGTTTCGATCGCAGTGTATGTAGGTGCCCACATGTGGTATTTTGTGAAAGAGCCACACTCACGGGGCCAAAGAGTCACATGTGGCTTGAGAGCCGCAGTTTGCCAACCACTCGGCTAAGTCAAGACAGATTAGTGAGGTAATCAGATCTATATTTAGAAAAAATGTTGGTAGCAGTATGAAGAATGAATTGGAAGGGATGGATAAACCACAAAGTACACACAGAGAGACAAGTCGGAAGTGGGCTATAATAGTCTAGGGAAAAGTAAGGGCACCCTTATATATATTATGAGTGACTTGGTGCACAGATTCATGCAAGGGTGAGGTCCCTCAGCCTGGCCTGCACCCTCTTGCAATCAGGGACCCCTCGGGGGATGTTGGACTGCTGGTTTGGGCCCGATCCCCACAAGCCAGGTCTGCAGGGATCAGGCTGACACTGGCAATCCAACATCCCCTTAAGGGATGTAGCAGTGCCAAAGCACTGGCAGCAAGGGAGGAGCCCCAGCTGGGCCAGGCCCCACTGCGCCTGCCACCACGTGGTAGCACTGCCTGGTAGCACTGCCGTGGAGAGGTAGGAAAGGCTCCCACCACCTCAGCTGCGCTCGCCAGCCATGAGCCCAGCTTCTGGCTGAGCAGTGCTCCTGCTGTGGGGGTACACAGACCACCAGGGGGCATTGAGCGTCTGCCCTCTGGTGGTCAGTGTGCATCATAGTAATCGGTCAATTGGTCATTCTTGTCATTCAGTTGTAATGGTCACTTAGGCTTTTATATATATAGATGTTTTTTTCTATACATACATCTATGATGGTGTAATTTTTAAATTAAGCACAATAAGAAATTAACACTAACTAAAAATAAAATGGAGCAATTATAACATCCTATATAATAAAAGCGTAAAATGCTAAGTGTCCGACTGATGAATCAACCATTATGTCAACCGCTTAACCAGTTGCTATGATACACACTGACCACCAGGGGGCAGATGCTCTGGAAGGTTAGCTTGCTGCTGGGGTCTGGCTGATTGGGACTGGGAGAAAGGGCTGAACATGCCCTGAAGCCCTCCTTCAGTCCCTCCCCAGCCAGCTGGCCCCCATCTACCTCGATCAGGACTAGGCAAGATGGCTCCAATCACCAGCCAGGCCAAGGGACGCCATCTGTGCACGAAATCATGCACTGGTCCTCTAGTACTGTAATAACAGTTACATGAATGCAGCCCGTCTCTCTTTCTCATAACCTAGATGGCTACTAGTTAACTCATGGTCAGATAGCTAGCAATACAACAAGAATACACTGGACAAAGGGATGATTTACGTCCCAAGTAGAATGGAGCAGGACAGCCTGAGGCTTTATCAAACTACTCAGAATGGCAAGATATTTAAAACAAATAATATTTAAATAATTAATTCTGGAATTTCCATTTAGTATTTTAAGACTGCAACTGACTGCAGGTAACTGAAACTATGGAAAGTGAAACTGAGAATAAGAGAGGAATACTGTAAATGTCAAGGTCATAAGATTCTTGATGTTTCAAAATAATGGTAACAAAATAAGTGATATAATGACTATTAAAATACATATAACTTTTCAAAGCATTTTCATATAAATTTCCTCTTTCTTAATGGAAATACTCAAGGGCTTTCAGGGCTAGGATTTTATTGTCTACCTGACAATAAAAACCTCAGAACAACTCTACATAATTCTCAAGATACCACACCAGGCTGTGTTTACAGAGATTATGCTTAATTTTCAAAAGGCTAACTCTGACAGTGATTAATTTTAGTGAAAGGAAGTATATGCCTTAAAAGAAAATAAGGCAACTGCAGCTCATGAACACACATGCGAACCTAAAAGAGTGAATAAAGGATACCAAAATTGTTCTGACCTAGTTACATCCCAATTAACACAGACTATGCTTTACAAAAACTCCTCTTCTCACTGTGAACACAGAATGCCAGCTGTGAAAGAAAGAGATACTGCGGGGTTTGCACCCTTTCGTTACCATAGAAACAGTAGCAATGGCAGGAGTTGGATGCCTCACATTTAAGTTATTAGCAATAAAATCAGATAGACAAATCAAGGCTTCAGGGTTTATTTAAATTGTATTTTAAAGGTAAAAGTCAGGAAAATAATATGATAAACAATATGACTCCTAAGAAACTATTCTTGAAATCTCTGCATTTTAGCAGAACCTGGTTAATTCTTGAATTTATATCTATATTATTCTGGATTTGCCTTTGCCTTTTATAGAATCAATTTTTTTACAAGGTTAAATTTATTTCAATTAATTGGCACATCATAAATAGAACAGTCTAAAGATACAGAATTATCCATCTGCATTTGCTTTCCACTCCCCATCCCAGGAACCAAAGTATGAAACCCACAAGATGACTCTTATCAGCATCAATAAAGAAGATAGAGAAACACAAACACAACTGTCTACAATCCTCAATAATAGGAACAAAACCAATCAGAGTATCATTTGGAGTAGTTTCTGAGCAATGCTGCCCCAATATTAATGGGTACACTCTTCTATTTAAATATAGAAGTGCCACAACTCTCCTCACATTTGATACATTCCCAGGAGAAAACCCTCAGTTTATGTTCCTTTCGTTACAATGTTCTCCATTGTTCACCTTGAACAAGTAAGATTTCTGTGTTGTAACAGATAGGGCAAAGGACCATCTAGGAATAAGGTACTATAAATGCTTTCTTTTTTTAGCAAGCACAATAGTCATTTGCTAATAGCATCAGTCTATCATAACGTTTACCCCTTAAAATAACTTCACTAATAGGAGAGGATTTAAAAATATAAGAAATTTGATATTGTGATTGCAACCTCCTAAAGGCTAGGGAAGATATTT